AGCCAAACATAGAAACCCCACCATGCAACATATATGTGTATATATAACTAACAATTAGCTCTAGTTCAACATTCATAAATTCAAAAAAAAAAAAAGTGAAACATTATCATAAAATTAAATAGCACTATTGGAGCTAGATTGGTCAATAATGGAGATTGAATCGGTGACTTGCGAGTGTTGCGGCTTAACGGAAGACTGTACACAACATTACATTAGTAAAGTCAAAGCCAAGTTCGCCGGAAAATGGCTTTGTGGGCTTTGCTCGGAGGCGGTGAGTGACGAAGTCAGCCGTAGTCGGAAGAAGAAGACCACGGTGGAGGAAGCTCTCAACTCCCACGTGTCCTTTTGTGGTAGCTTTAGTAAAGCCAACCCGGCAGAGCTCGTCGCCGACGGCATGAGAGAGATGTTACGGAGGAGGTCCGCCGGTTACTTATCACCGGCGACGTCCAAGAAGTTTGCAAGATCTAACACTACGTAATAAATTGTGAACACATCTTTGTTCTCTTAGTCCTTTTCTTCCTCTAGTGTTGGCTAATGTATCATACTATCATATAATAAAAATATAGAATCGTTTACACAAATAAGTAATCCTGAATGAAACTTAAATATTTTGAATAATTACTTCAAAATTTTTCCCATAACAGTCACCAGAACAAAATCCTTCTTCTCGTCCTCCTACACATCCACCAAAACACTACAAGAGTCTGGAACATAACCCACAAGCTTCAATTTACTTACAACCTCTTCAAGCTTTGCATAAATGTCATCAGATTGTTCATGTCTCTTGTCACCAATAAGAAACTCATGCGATTTCCCGTTTAAGTCAATCCTGCTAAGACCTTTCTCCTTGAACACATTCTTTTCCTCCATCACAAGCCTTATCTTCCTCACATCGTCCCATCTCTGTTCTCTCGCGTATATATTTGACATTAACACAAGAGCCCCGTCGTGATCAGGTTCCAGCTCGAGGATGTGTTTGGCTGCAACTTCACCTAACTCAAGCTCGCCGTTGACTCTACAAGCTGACATCAACGACCCCCAAATGACAACATTAGGCTCCATTGGCATCGATTCTATAACCTCAAGAGCTTCTCGTAATCGATTAGCACGGCCAAAGAGATCAACCATGCATCCATAATGCTCAAGCTTAGGAGTAATGTTGTATTCATCAGTCATTGATGCAAACATCTTCTTGCCTTCTTCAACTAATCCTCCGTGGCTACAACCATAGAGCACTCCTACAAAAGTAACTTCATTCGGCTCAACATTCTCCTGTTTCATCCGGGCGAATAACGTAAGAGCCTCATTAGCTTCTCCATGAATAGAAAAGGCATTGATCATAGAGCTCCATGACACAACATTCTTCGTTTCCATCTTCTCAAACACATCTCTCGCTGCATCCAAACCTCCGCACTTCGCATACATGTTAATGAGAGCATTACTCATCGCCAACGATGATTCAAGCCCGTTGAGACCAATGTAATCATGAATCCATTTCGCTTTATCCAGAGCACCGAGGTTCGCACAAGCTGATACAACACTACACATAGCAATCTCATCAGGTTTCACCCCAGAGCGAAGCATTTCCTCGAAAACTCTTAAAGCTTCTTGAGGACGATCACTCTCAGCATAACCTGAAATCATCGTCGTCCAACACACCAAGTCTTTCTTCTCCATTTGGTCAAACACATCCCGAGCTTCTTCTAGCCTCCCAGCTTTCGCAAACCTGGAAACCATGGCAGTGGAAACGAACAAGCTTCTCACTGACATCTTCGTATAAAACTCCATTGCCATATCCATACACCCTGCTCCAGCATACATAGTCACAAGAGAAGTGAGCAAATGAGTGTCAAGCCTCACATCATTCTCTTTCAAAAACTCGTAAATCGCTCTGTTATATCTTGTATTTCCGGTACGGCCACATGCGGAGACAATGTTACAGAGAATCATCTCATCTGGCATCACATTAGAATCCTTCATCTCCTCAAAAAGCTTGAAAGCTTCATCTACAAGACCAAATCGGCAATACCTGCAAACAAGATCAAAGTAACAAACTTCAGAGAAGATACATAAACACTAAACTACATTACATATTTATGATGATGATTCGTCACCTCTCAATCATTGTATTCCATGTAACGACATCTCTCTGAGACATTTCGTCGAACACTTTGCGTGCGTCGATGATTCTACCGCAAGACGCGTACATATCCATAACTCCAGTCTCCACAAACGGGTCGGAGAGTGTGGCTATCTTCAACGCAACGCCGTGAAGCTCCATACCCTGGAACAAGGCCGAGACTTTAGAGGCTGATTTAAGAATCGGAGGGAAGCTGAATTGATCGAGACGACAACCGACATGTCTAATCCTCTGGTAGAACAGGATCGTCGCTCTGAATTCACCGGAACGTGAGAGATTCCGGAGAAGAGGATTGAACACGACGGATTCCGGCGGAGAAGGGATAGATGAGAAGACGGAGAGAGCGTAGGTGAGACTGATAGAGGAAGAAGAAGAGGAGAGGCTGAAGAGAAACGTGTTGAGGCGGTTGTCGAACACTGTACGGAGGATATGCGCATGGAGTTGCTTGATTTGGCTGAGCGTTTTGCAGAGTGAGAGTCCGTTTAAAACAGCATTCGCGGCGGCGGAGGCGGTGGTTGAGGTTATCGACGGCGGAAGGAGCATCGGCGTTTCAGTTAAAATCCACGTAGACAGAAGTTACTCTGTAAATTAAAATGAAACATTCTGTTTCCGTCTCTTCAAAAATCGCAGCTTTACTAATCTCAAAGATGGATCAGAAATCGATAAATTTACAGAGCCGTAGCTTTTCTGGAAATTTTGATTCCCTACCGAAAAAAGGCGATCACTTTTTTTTGTAATCAATATTCCTTCAACTTTTCTCCTATTAATTTTGACTCACAATCGCTCCTTTATCACTCTCACGAATCACACACCATGAAAGTCCATGCTTTACCCAGTCAAGGCAACAACATCTTGATCCATCACCACCCGACCCGAGAACCCGGAAAGAAGCTCCGACGGCTCCCGCATATCTTCAGCCGCGTCTTAGAGCTTCCTCTGAGTTCAGACGCTGACGTGTCGGTCGAAGAGAGGTTGGACTGTTTCAGGTTCGTCGCGGAAACTGACGGAGGAGGTGTGAAAGCTTACGTGGTGGAGATCCATCCCGGAGTGACAAAGATTCTGGTGAGAACGAACGGGTCTTCGTCTCTGGGTTTGTCGCTCGATGAGCTTGACCTTGACGTGTGGCGTTTCAGGCTACCGGAATCTACAAGGCTTGATCTCGTGACTGTGGATTGCGACGGCGACGGAGAATTGATCGTCACTGTGCCTAAGATTGAAGACGACGGTAGAGATTTCCCAGAAAGTATAGGCACTAGTAACAGGATCGTGCTTGTACAGTAATAATAATGTGATGTGATCATAAAAATGTCAACTTTTTATATCAATCTAATGGCATTTAGATAAAGATCTGTTTTTTTTTTATAACTTGATAGATTATGAAAATGATCACAGTTTGCCTTATGCAACACAAAAAACAAACCTTGAGAGGTTTTAGAAATAAAAAGCTTTGAGGGAGGAGAATTTATTAAGGATCTCTGCTTCACGTTTAAGAGCATTTTCCTTCTTCATTTCCCATTCTGGTTTCTTGGAGTTAGCTGCTTGAACTTCCTGCACCACTTTAGGAATAGAGTTCGCAACCATCTTCTGACCATAGCTCAGATCAACCTTCTCTTTCTCCTTCTTACTAATGCCACGTGTCAGCTCTGTCCGTCTAGCTTGAAGCTGAGCGATCTGCTCGTCGATCTGACGGATTGTGTCGGCGTTTGAATCGACTTCACTCTGGATATTGCCTAGCTTCTCCTTTAAATCGCTGTACTCGTACTTGAGAGAAGCGACTTTAGCTTTGTTAAGCTCGAGAGCAGAGAAGAACCTATCTGCTTCCACTATCACGCTTTTGTTTTCTTGAAAAACTTCGCTGAAAGTTGGAATCTCTTCTATGAGCTTCAACCTCACTATCTCTTCAGCTGAGAGGCTTGGATCTTTCTTAAGTTTTGTTGCCAAGCTTGACATCTCCGCAGCTTCGTTTGACATGAACAAGGAAGAGAAGTCTTTGTCTAGAAGCGACGAAAGCTTCATCCTCGCTTCCGCCCATTCGTATTCTCTCATTGGAGAGCTCGCGTTGAGATGAACAGACGAAGAGGCTTGTTGTCCTGCTTCTTGAGGCTGCTGCTGAAGAAGATTCTCTAGAGTGTTGAGATAAGTGTCGAACTCTTCCGGGTTTACATCCACAGGAGAGTGAGAGACTGCGAGGACACCGTTCATAGGAGAAACATAGATGTGTGGAATCGAAACGTCTTCTTCTTCTTGTGCAGCTGCAACGTTGTTACCTCTGCGTCTCTTCATTCTCTTGCCGGTTTTCTTTGCAGCTGCTGGTTCGTTCTCTTCTCCTCCTTCTTCTTCCAAGTCAATCACACCGCCTTGTTGCTGTCTTGTGGAGCGTTTCGAAGATGATCTCTGTTTGGTGGTGGCTGCAGTTGTAGCAGCAGCGACTTGTTTCTCCTTCTTTCTCTTGTAGCTACCTCGTTGAGTTGGTTTCGGTTTCTCTTCAACAGGTTCATAAGTCTGTGTCTGCTGCATTGGTTTCCTCTTCCTCTGACTGTAACGTGAACTTGATCCTTCTTTATTTTCACCATCATCAACAGCATTATTATTCTCATCTTTGGATGTCTCTTCAAACAAAGATGCAGCATCAACTACAGAAACAGAGGATAATAAAAGAAACATCAACTACAAGCTTTAAAGGCGGAAGCGAAACAAGAAAGAAGAGCTTTTTTAAACTACCTTTCTCCGCGAGTTGAATCAAAGCAGGGATGTTCCAGGTAAACGAAGCGAAGAATGCATTAACATCCACGTCAGGGAAGTTTGTTTCGAGGTAACGAGAGAGAGTGGTTTTGCTAGCGAAAGATTTGGCTGCATTCTTGGTCCTAAGCCTATCAGGGAGAATCAGAAACCTGTCTTTATGAGCCCCAGTAGCAGTCACTCTCCTCCCAACTCTCCAAGTCCATACATCACCGGCGCTCGGGTAGTCGATAGGCGCATACGGCAAACCTTGACCTTTAGAGAAAAGAGGAATCGAGGGGAGTTGGGTTTTGTTGTCATTTTCATTCACATGATCATCACCATCTTGTTGTTCCTTGTTGAATATTGCATTGTCCCAAAAGTTGTCTTGCTCTTGGTAATTGTCTTCGGCTGGGACTGGTTCTGTCTCCTCGTTACTAGTGATTGGGACTGTTTCACCAAATCTGTGGAAGGTTTAAAATGTGGTTTGACTGAAACAACATAGCTTTATATATGACTGATTAATTCACTGACCATTTTTGTAAGTCTATATATATTCATCCAAAAACAAAACTGATCAGTGAATCAGTGATCATGCATGTCTCAGTTAAACTAATTATCTTCCATTTTCAGAGAATCGAAACGAAACCATATATAGAAGTGTAATTGGTTATAATGATATCACGAATTAAATATTACCCATGAGGATTTTGATCGGTCTCTTGATCCATATCCGTCGGAGCAGACCCAGAATATTAATTTCCTGCGATCGAGAAACACACAAATGAATAAAAAAGAGTTGAATTTGAATAAACTTTTGGAGGAAGACGTATAAAAGTACAAACTTTGGGGGATCAAGAACAGACTTGGTTGAATTTAGCAAAGATCTGAGCTCATCTACAACTAATCAGTTTCACTCGATTCATACTCTAGCCTGAAAAAGCGCAGGAGAAAATTACCATTGTACCCTTTACTTGGGTTCTTCTCGCAGAGAAGCTGAAAATTACCATAATGCCATTCAATGTTTCACCGGCCGTTAAGCAATGAGCTTACCTATCGCCGGCGTTAGTGATAATGAGCCGCCTCACCGCGAACGCTCTCGGGTTACTCCTCAAGGATGCAATCTCCACGAGCTCCATGCGTTTGGGTCGCGTCGTGCACGCCAGAATCGTCAAGACACTCGATTCGCCTCCCCCTCCGTTTCTCGCAAACTACCTCATCAGCATGTACGCGAAACTCGACCATCCCGAATCGGCGAGGATCGTTCTCCGCCTCACGCCTGCCCGGAACGTCGTCTCTTGGACTTCCCTCGTCTCCGGACTTGTTAATAACGGTCATTACTCCTCCGCGCTGTTTGATTTCATCGAAATGCGACGAGAAGGTGTGTTCCCAAATGACTTCACTTTCCCTTGTGCCTTCAAAGCCTCGGGTTCTCTGCGATTTCCCGTTACCGGAAAGCAGATTCATGCGCTTGCTGTGAAGTGTGGAAGGATAATGGATGTGTTCGTTGGGTGTAGCGCTTTTGATATGTATTGCAAGACTAGGCTCAGGGACGATGCGCGGAAGATGTTCGACGAAATTCCTGAGAGGAACCTTGAAACTTGGAATGCTTATATATCTAACTCTGTGTTGGATGGTAGGCCTAAGGAAGCTGTTGAAGCTTTTCTAGAGTTTAGAAGGATCGGTGGGAACCCGAATTCGATAACTTTTTGTGCGTTTCTCAATGCTTGTTCGGATGGGTTATTGCTGAATCTAGGAGAGCAATTGCACGGGCTTGCGTTTCGAAATGGGTTTGATGGAGATGTGTCAGTGTGCAACGGGTTGATTGATTTCTATGGAAAGTGTAAGCGGATTCTTTGCAGTGAGGTTGTCTTTGCTGAGATGGGTACGAGAAACGCTGTTTCTTGGTGCTCGTTGGTGGCTGCGTATGTGCAGAATCAGGAGGACGAGAAGGCGTCTCTGTTGTATTTACGTTCTAGGAAGGAGATTGTTGAGACATCTGATTTTATGATCTCAAGCACTCTGGGTGCGTGTGCTGGTATGGCAGGTCTTGAGCTGGGGAGATCGGTACATGCTCATGCTGTGAAAGCTTGTGTTGAGAGGACTATTTTTGTTGGAAGTGCACTTGTGCATATGTATGGGAAATGCGGATGCATAGAAGATTCAGAGCAAGCGTTTGATGAGATGCCTGAAAAGAACTTGGTGACTTTGAATTCACTGATCGGAGGGTATGCTCATCAAGGTGAGGTTGATATGGCATTGGCGTTGTTTGATGAAATGGCACCACGTGGATGCGGTCCAAAGCCAAATTACATGACGTTTGTGTCTGTGCTTTCCGCTTGTAGTAGAGCAGGGGATGTGGAAAACGGTATGAAGATATTTGATTCGATGAAGAGTTGTTATGGCGTCGAGCCAGGGGCTGAGCATTATTCCTGCGTCGTTGACTTGTTAGGGCGAGCAGGGATGGTGGAACGAGCTTATGAGGTCATAAAGAAAATGCCAATTCAACCTACGATTCCGGTTTGGGGTGCACTTCAAAATGCTTGTAGGATGCATAGTAAGACACAACTGGGAATCATAGCAGCTGAGAGCCTTTTTAAACTCGACCCTAAAGATTCAGCCAACCACGTTCTGCTTTCCAATACGTTTGCAGCTGCTGGGAGGTAAAAGTTTCAAACTTTCTTTCATCTTGTTAGGTTGGAATCATATTCTCAGTGATTCAATACAAGCCCACAATGCATTCTAGACTAGAGCAAACCTAGACTCTATGAGCACTATTTGAGTCTGGTGCTGATACTACTTGGTAGATTCGTCTTGTATCTTCTGTATGTGAATAGTCTCTGTTTAGCTTTTGCTTTTAAGTGTTTGGATTGAAGTGGACTCAATGCAAAAGATTGTCCTTTTTTAAGTATAGGAAAGTTCTGTTGTGTGGATTATATGCTCGTTTTCTCTTCGTTAACTTATGATATAACCGATCTGTGATAGGTGGGCGGAAGCAAACACCGTGAGAGTGGAGATGAAAGACGTAGGGATCAAGAAAGGAACCGGGTACAGTTGGATCACGGTGAAGAACCAAGTGCATGCCTTTCAAGCCAAGGACAGATCCCACAGAAAGAACAAAGAGATTCAGAGAATGCTGACCAAGCTGAGGAATGAAATGGAGGCTGCAGGGTACAAGCCTGACTCGAAACTCTCGCTTTATGATCTGGAGGAAGAGGAGAATGCAGCAGAAGTCGCGCACCACAGTGAGAAACTGGCTCTAGCGTTTGGCTTGGTGGCTTTACCTCTCGGTGTCCCTATAAGGATCACTAAGAACCTTAGGATCTGTGGAGATTGCCACAGCTTCTTCAAGTTTGTCTCTGGGAGTGTTGAGAGAGAGATCATTGTGAGGGATAATAACCGGTTTCATCGGTTTAGGGATGGAAATTGTTCTTGTAGAGATTATTGGTAATTTTTGTCAGTTTAGGTTATATAAACATTTCTTTATTAACAAGTCTTATCTCATTTTGGAATCGAATATGATCATCGTTCTAGTTCAAGACTTGGTATAAAATCCGCGTTCGAAACAAATTTTAAAATATCAAAAGATTGTATAAATTTTTTTAAAACTGGATCCAGCTACGTTATGGACATTGCATTTCACTACGTGACCTCCTCTTAATACACATTGTTCGTAATCGTATGATGATGTATAAATAAGTATTGCCAACAGAAAAGTCCTAATCACTTTTGAATTTGATTAACCACCAAAAATGTCTACTTTTCTAAAGAAGAAGCTTCACCTCTGCTTCTCAACCTCCGGTGTTCTCTCACCGTCGATTCCTTCTTCTCCGGTTGTTATATCGAGTCACAACCCCAATCACCATCACACTCCCTCAATCTTCATCAACAACTTCAACTCTCTCTACGATCATCTCTCTGTTTCCTCTCCTCTCTACCGCGGCAACCGTCCCGGTAACTTATCCGCCGACGCTGCATTCACCAAACCAAAATCTCGTGAAACTGAATCCGATGACCCGACCAGACCATTCGGCGGCGGATTGCATCCTTCTCCGCGTAGAGCGAACGATGACGAAGGCGAAGAAGAAGAAGAAGAAGAAGAAGAAGACAATTCATCCGTCGTGTCGAAGCTTTTAAGCGGCGGAATGGCGTTTACGAAGCACATTGAGTCACCGGATCCGTACAGAGATTTCGGGCGGTCGATGAGAGAGATGGTGGAAGCTAGGGATCTGACGAGAGACGTCGCCGCCGATAGAGAATACTTGCAGGAGTTACTCTTCTGCTACCTCTCATTGAATCCAGAACATACTCACAAATTCATCGTCTCTGCTTTCGCCGATACACTCCTCTGGTTACTTTTCCCGTCGTCGGCGCCTTCGCCGGATAATTTTCGATCCCAATCGATTTAGTTTCTGTTTAATTTAAATTTAAATTTGTTTGTCTATTTAATCAAATAATAATTGGGCCTGTGGGCTGCAAAGGCCCATAATTGTAGTAACGTTACGGTACTCGCTGTTGTATCTGATAATCGCTTATGTGCATTATCCTCAACAAAGAGAAATTCTAAAATTAAAGGAAAAAAAAATAGCAGAGTTCCCAAATTCGAAAAATGTCACTGGCCGCACAATTCTCGCCGCCGGTCACCGGAACAATCAGAGGTGTTAGGAAAACAGCCTTTCCGATGAAACCTCAACCTTCCACTCGTCGATTATTTCCGGTTTACCCTGAGATTCGAACTCCGGCGACGAGTAGTCTGAGAAAATCGCATTATCATGTGGCTAAGGCTATCGAACAGAGTCGTGATACAGCTGGATCTGAATCCGAGTCAGAGGCGACTCCGTCACCGGCAGATAGTGGAAGCGGAGACAAAGAGGTGGAGATTAGCGCGTTAGGAGCAGAGATAAAAGCGGCGATGGAGCAGAGAAAAGCGGCGGAGGAGGAGAAAGGGAAGAGCGAGTTTCTGAGTGGAGTGGCGGAGGAAGTGAAGGAGATTGAGTGGCCGGCGTTTCAGAAAGTGCTCGGAACGACAGGCGTCGTGCTCGGTGTTATCGCCGGTTCTAGCGTCGTATTGCTCACCGTAAATTTCATTTTGGCTGAACTCTCCGATCGTGTGTTCATCGGGAAAGGTGTTCAAGACTTTTTCAGCTGATTTTATATATTGAGATTGTGAAATTTGTGTACAATTTTTAGTGATTGCAGTGAGAAAATTGAAAGATTGTCGATTTTGTGTAGATGATAAAATCTCTGAAATTGGAATATGATTAGAATCACTCCTTTGAGCCACATTGCCTTCTTCAGTTCTTCTTCTTCCTTAACTTTTATCTCATACTTAGCCTGGAACTCGGAAAGATCCTTCAATTGAATTTCGACTTTGGCTATGTTGAAAAAGATCTGGTTTAGTTCTGATCACATCAAACACTATGATACTCAAAAGTCACACAACAATTTCAGATTTATTAAGCAGGAAGTGAGTTTTGTTCACAAAAGAAACACAGAATCTACTTGGTTGTTTATTCGTACACAGAGATGCAGAAAGAATGCAAAGACGCACTGCAACTGTAGATGAAGATGCTCTGTTGGAGAAACTGAACATCTTTCTTTATTTTGGCGTCTCTATAATGAAGAAATCGTGGATTTTGAGACGAGATCAGTTCAAGCCTCGAAGGTCATGGCTTCCGCTTCTTTCCTTGTCGCGTCGAATAGTACAGTCGACAGGTACCTCTCTCCGAAACTTGGGAACACCGCCTGTAAAGACAACAATTAAGTGAAGTTCAGGATAAGAATACAACAAAGACTCAGATTGATTTGTGGTTGTTTCTTGTTTCTAGGTTTAATATCAGAGCTTCTTGGCTTTAACATAACCCAAAAAACTTACCACGAAAAGCTTCCCGGCATTTTCTGGCCTCTTTGCAAGTTTGATTGCTGCGGCTGCTGCTGCACCAGATGAAATTCCCACCTACCATTTTTATATTTTGTTTGTTAGAAACCGTATTTCACTATGATATGAGAAGAAAAATGCAGCAATAGTATTTCACAACTGATCCTAGTGTAGTATCCACATTTGTTTTTGAGGTTCGAATCTTAAAGGTCTCAACTTATCTAAGCAAAACCAAAAAGAATTTGTCACTCTGGCTGAGATAGCTCGTTCGTTTGTGAAATGTGAAACACTTACAAGAAGACCTTCTTTAAGAGCGAGAAGTCTTGCCGTGTTGATGGATTCATCACTTGAAACCTGTGGAACGCGTTACAGGAAAGATAAAAGGAAGGTAAGTGACAAATTGTAGCTCTCAGTTTTTGGTCAGTAAAATAAAAACTGGAAGGTACTCTTACTTGAACAACTTCATCTATAAGATCAACATCCAGTACACTTGGTATAAAACCAGCACCTATCCCTTGAATTTTGTGAGGGCCTTGTCATTTCCAGCAAAACATCACAAGTTAGGCAACTTCCATAATCAAAAGGAGGCAAACGGAGAAACACGAATGATGATAAGTAATTAAACAGAGGGGGAGATCAAATCACCTGGCTTGCCACCGGAGAGAATAGTACTTTCAACTGGCTCCACTCCATACAGCTGACAAAAGAGAAAACAAAATAAGCCCTTGCAAAGTCACACTGCTTAAATTTCGGAATAAGTCTTAAGAGTATCATAAGAAAGCCAATTTGTATGCCAAAAGATAGAGAGCTCTCTCACCTTTACGCTCAGGTTTTGTTCCTTAAGATACTTTCCTGCACCTGTTATGGTACCACCAGTACCAATCCCAGAGACAAAGCTGTCAATTTTACCACCAGTGCCTTTCCATATCTCAGGTCCAGTAGTCTCATAGTGGATCTGCATTGTCACAGTCACATTTCAAAACTGACAGAAACAAATTCACTCCAGCGCTACTAAAAAGTAAAAACTAATAAGCATACCTTTGGGTTGGCAGGGTTATTAAAATGTTGGAGCATGTAACCATTCGGTGTTTTCGCCAAAAGAGGAGCCTTTGCGATAGCGCCTTTCATGCAGGGTCAGTCAAAATCAACTGAACACCAAAAGCTAAGAGAATGAGTCTTCTCTCTACACTCATTGAAGCTGGCATTGTGATAATAAGCTTGTATCCTTTTGCAGCCGCCGTGAATGCTAACCCAACTCCGGTGTTTCCACTTGTTGGCTCAATCAACACACTCTAAAACAGAACGAACAGACACAAAATAAAGTCAGAAACTAAACCTCCAGAACAAAGTAGTGGTTTTTTGGCTTTCACTTTGTGAAGTTGTACCCTGTGAATCATCTCTGTCATTGACTTCGTTCTTTATTGATATACCAACCAGCTCTGGATAGGAGCTTCGCTTTTCTTTATGAACATGTCTGTCACCGTTTCCAACTACATTTCTAATAGGTGGGAAATTTCTTGCAAATGTCGCTTGTCCATCACTATCACTGGCACATTGCTCCTCCCTTTTCATATCTATCTCAAACTTTTTGGTTTTCCGCGTCAGCTGACTGAGTATCTCATCAGAGATCAAAGTAATTGCGGAACTATCTTCACAAGGCTTGGCCACTTTTCCCCCACTATTTACCTGCTTAAGAAGTGCTTCATAAGCCTTGATAATAGACCAGAATGCTGTTCCCCTGGGGCTTATATAGACTGCATCTAGGTAATCTCTGTTCCTTCTAGGTCTATAGTCAATTGTCCACCCTGCTTCCAGTAACATTTCCCTTATTCGCTCACGTAATCTTTGTTTTTCTGTGCCTGATCCACGCCTAATCTTTCCATCTCTGATTTTTTGAGGTGTTGGCGCTTCAGGTAAAAAAATTTCTCTTCCAGTGCTTGACATGTGCAAGAGCTTGTGAGCTTGAATGGCTCTCTTCTGCAGCCGTCCGGAAGTATCACTATCTTCAGAATCTTGGTCGTGACTCTTACTCTTCATGGTTAAGCTCGTGGGCATTTTCAACCCATTCGACTGTATCCTAGCAGGAGGAAGCAGCTTCGCCATGTTTTCAGTTTTTACAGTGGTTGGCGACGACGGGATAGCAACACGAATTTTACCAGTCTCCTGCACTTTTGAGCCATAGTGAGTTTGTTTAGCTTCCCCATCAGTGAAACTTTGCAGTAACACTCCCATCTTATTCAGCTTCTTCGGCATCACCTTGAGGACACCATTTTTCCCCTGAACCCTGATCGGTCCATCAAAATTCATGTCACGCTTATACTTGTTCTGCAACAATGACGCATGAGTTTTACTTTCGTTTCCACTCACCTTACACCTATAACCTTGATTAGCAAAACCTACGTTCCCTGTCCCTGATCCATCTAAATATGGTTTCCTCCTCTTCTCATAACCTAAATCTTTACTACTAGAGCCACCTCCATGGTCCCTGCCAATGCCAGCTTGAGCAGATCCCAAATATGCTTTCTTACCAATATCAACTCCACTGCCATCAGATGGTTTCTGTTTGGTGGTTGCAACAGCGACTTGTTTCTCTTTCTTTCTCTTGTAGCTACCTCGTTGAGTTGCTTTCGGTTTCTCTTCAACAGGTTCGTAACTCTGCGTCTGCTGCATTGGTTTCCTCTTCCTCTGACTGTAACGTGAACTTGATCCATCATCAGCATTATTCTCATCTTTTGATGTCTCTTCAAACAAAGATGCAGCATCAACTACATAAAACAAGAATAATAAAAGAAACATCAACTACAGAGCTTTAAAGGCGAATCGAAAGAAGAAAGAAGATCTTTTTTTAAACTACCTCTCTCCGCGGGTTGAATCAAAGCAGGGATGTTCCAGGTGAAGGATTCGAAGAACGCATTAACATCCAAATCAGGGAAGTTTGTTTCGAGGTAACGAGAGAGAGTGGTTTTGCTAGCGAAAGACTTGGCTGCATTCTTGGTCCTAAGCCTATCAGGGAGAATCAGAAACCTGTCTTTATGAGCCCCAGTGGCAGTCACTCTCCTCCCAACTCTCCAAGCCCATACATCACCGGCGCTCGGGTAGTCGATAGGCGCATACGGCAAGCCTTGGCCTTTAGAGAAAAGCGGAATCGACGGGAGTTGGCTTTTGTCGTCATTTTCCTTCACATGATCATCATCACCATCTTGTTGTTCCTTGTTGAATATTGCATTGTCCCAAAAGTTGTCTTGCTCTTGGTAATTGTCTACGGCTGGGACTGGTTCTGTCTCCTGGTTACTAGTGATTGGGACTGTTTCACCATCATCAAATCTGTGGCAGGATTAAAAATGTGGTTTGAGTGAAATAACATATGAAGATTGATTCACTGACCATTTTTGTAAGTAACTCAAAAGCAAAAGTGATCAATGATCATATGCATGTCTCAGTTAAACTAATTATCTTCCATTTTCAGAGAATCGAAACTTTATACAGGAGTGTGATTAAAGAGTGATGGTTATAATGATATCACGAATTAAAAATTTACCCTGGAGGATTCTGATCGGTCTCGTGATCCATATCTGTCGGAGCAGAACCAAAAACTGCGATCGAGAAACACCCAAATGAATACAAAAGAGTTGGATTTGAAGAAACTTTTAAAGAAAAACGTATAAAGTTACGAACTTTGAGGGATCAAGAACAGAGTTGGTTAAATTTAGGAAAGATCTAAGCACATTGAGTCACCGGATCCGTACAGAGATTTCGGACGGTCGATGAGAGATCCGGCTGGTGGAAGCTAGGGATCTGACGAGAGACGTCGCCGCCGATAGAGAATACTTGCAGGAGTTACTCTTCTGCTATCTCTCATTGAATCCGGAATATAGCCACAAATTCATCGTCTCTGCTTTCGCCGATACACTCCTCTGGTTACTTTTCCCGTCGTCGTCGTCGTCGTCGCCTTCGCCGGATAACTATCGATCCCAATCGATTTAGTTTTCTATTTAATTTAAATTTTAAATCTTTTTGTCTATTTAATCAAATAATAATTGGGCCTGTGGGCTGCAAAGGCCCATAATTGTAGTAACGTTACGGTACTCCCTGTTGTATCTGATAATCGCTCATGTGAATTATCCTCAACGAAGAGAAATTCTAAAATTAAGGGGGGAAAAATAGCAGAGAGAAAGAAGTTCCCAAATTCGAAAAATGTCACTGGCCGCACAATTCTCGCCGCCGGTCACCGGAACAATCAGAAGTGTTAGGAAAACAGCCTTTCCGATGAAATCTCCACCTTCCACTCGTCGACTATTCCCGGTTTACCCTGAGATCAGAACTCCGGCGATGAGTAGTCTGAGAAAATCGCATTATCTAGTGGCTAAGGCTATCGAACAGAGTCGTGATACAGCTGGATCTGAATCCGAGTCAGAGGCAACTCCGTCACCGGCGGATAGTGGAAGCGGAGAGAAAGAGGTGGAGATCAGCGCGTTGGGAGCAGAGATAAAAGCGGCGATGGAGCAGAGAAAAGCGGCGGAGGAGTTGAAAGGGAAGAACGAGTTACTGAGTGGAGTGGCGGAGGAAGTGAAGGAGATTGAGTGGCCGGCATTTCAGAAAGTGCTCGGAACGACAGGCGTCGTGCTCGGTGTTATCGCCGGTTCTAGCGTCGTATTGCTCACCGTTAATTTCATTTTGGCTGAACTCTCCGATCGTGTGTTCATCGGAAAAGGTGTTCAAGACTTTTTCAGCTGATTTTATATATTGAGATTGTGAAATTTGTGTACAATTTTTAGTGATTGCAGTGAGAAAATTGAAAGATTGTCGATTTTGTGTAGATGATAAAATCTCTGAAATTGGAATATGATTAGAATCACTCCTTTGAGCCACATTGCCTTCTTCTTCTTCCTTATCTTTTATCTCATACTTAGCCTGGAACTCGGAAAGATCCTTCAATTGAATCTCGACTTTGGTTATATGTTGAAAAAGATGTGGTTTAGTTCTGAATTCTGATCATGAAACATTATGATACTCAAAAGTCACACACATCAATTTCAGATTTATTAAACAGCAAATGAGTTTTGTTCACAAAAGAAACACAGAATCTACTTGGTTGTTTATTCGTACACAGAGATGCAGAAAGAAGCAAAGACGCACTGCAACTATAGATGAAGATGCTCTGTTGGAGAAACTGAACATCTTTCTTTATTTTGGCGTCTCTATAATGAAGAAATCGTGGATTTTGAGACGAGATCAGTTCAAGCCTCGAAGGTCATGGCTTCCGCTTCTTTCCTTGTCGCGTCGAATAGTACAGTCGACAGGTACCTCTCTCCGAAACTTGGGAACACCGCCTGTAAAGACAACAATTAAGTGAAGTTCAGGATAAGAATACAACAAAGACTCAGATTGATTTGTGGTTGTTTCTTGTTTCCATGTGTTTATATCAGAGCTTCTTGGCTTTGCTTTGGGTGGTGACAATAACATAACCCAAAAAACTTACCACGAAAAGCTTGCCGGCATTTTCTGGCCTCTTGGCAAGTTTGATTGCTGCGGCTGCTGCTGCACCAGATGATATTCCCACCTACCATTTTTTCCAGATTTTGCTATTAGAAACCGTTTTTTCATTATGAAAAGAGATTATGCAGCAAACCAAATAACCTACAAACAACTGATGTTAGTTGTGAATGTGAAAACACTTACAAGAAGACCTTCTTTAAGAGCAAGAAGTCTTGCCGTGTCGATGGATTCATCACTCGAAACCTACGGATAAATTGAGGTTTTGTAAGTGAGAACTCGCATGCAATACAGTTTTGGTCAGTAAAATAAAAACTGGAAGGTACTCTTACTTGAACAACTTCATCTATAAGATCAACATCCAACACACTTGGTATAAAACCAGCACCTATCCCTTGGATTTTGTGAGGGCCTTGGCATTTCCAGCAAAACATCACGTGTTAGGCAACTTCCACAATCAAAAGGAGAAACAAGAAACACGAATGATAATAAGTAATTAGCAGAGGGGGAGATCAAATCACCTGGCTTGCCACCGGAGAGAATAGTACTTTCAACTGGCTCCACTCCATACAGCTGACAAAAGAGAAAACAAAATAAGCCCTTGCAAAGTCACACTGCTTAAATTTCGGAATAAGTCTTAAGAGTATCATAAGAAAGCCAATTTGTATGCCAAAAGATAGAGAGCTCTCTCACCTTTACGCTCAGGTTTTGTTCCTTAAGATACTTTCCTGCACCTGTTATGGTACCACCAGTACCAATCCCAGAGACAAAGCTGTCAATTTTACCACCAGTGCCTTTCCATATCTCAGGTCCAGTAGTCTCATAGTGGATCTGCATTGTCACAGTCACATTTCAATAACTGACAGAAACAAATTCACTCCAGCGCTACTAAAAAGTAAAAACTAATAAGCATACCTTTGGGTTGGCAGGGTTATTAAAATGTTGGAGCATGTAACCATTCGGTGTTTTCGCCAAAAGAGGAGCCTTTGCGATAGCGCCTTTCATGCAGGGTCAGTCAAAATCAACTGAACACCAAAAGCTAAGAGAATGAGTCTTCTCTCTACACTCATTGAAGCTGGCATTGTGATAATAAGCTTGTATCCTTTTGCAGCCGCCGTGAATGCTAACCCAACTCCGGTGTTTCCACTTGTTGGCTCAATCAACACACTCTACAAGAGAACAAACTAAAAAAAAAGTCAGAAAACAAACATAAAAGGAAACCTCCAAAATAAGAATCAGATATCAAAACTGACCTCTCCTGGCTTTGTAAGACCCTTTTTCTCTGCATCATTAATCATACTAAATCCAATCCTGCAAAAAGAAGCAAAACACAAGCTTTTCACAAAACTGAAACTCAAAAACGAAAAAGAAACTGCAGAGTTTTATGAACGAAAAGCAGAAACCTGTCTTTGACGCTGGAGCATGGCTCCATCATCTCGAGCTTAGCAGCAACACGACCAACACATCCTTCAGTGAACATTGTTCAGGTACACCAATGGAGTGTTACCAATCAACTGAGTCAAAAATAAACAAATAAGATCAATAAATACATGAGCATGTAACAAAAATCAACACTTTTGAAAATGAATAGTGTAAGAATTGGAGAGCTTACTTCCGCCACATTGTTAGCAATTCGAGAGGCCATGATTTGATCTTCACTGCTTGATTCACAAAGAGAATATCAAAATCAACGGCAGAAATGATCTTCAAAAATTTCCGAAACTATTAACAATCCCGAAATTCACAACCAAAGGTACCTAATCCAAAAATTAAGTTTTTTTTTTAAATCAAACACACATCATAAACATAAATCCCCAGATGTGTAAACACCAATCGTAATAGTCAATACTTAACACCAAATCACTATGATTAACAACGAAAATCATCTAAACCCGATAGAACTAACCGATCCAATCAAAATAGAGTCGAAATCTGCAGAGAAATTAAAAAAAGAGAGAAAAAAATTGGAAGAAGACGATGTTACCTGATTGGGAAAGTCAACAACCTTGACCTGAAACGTTTGAAGAGAATTAAGAACGTATCGAATCAAATCGCGGAATGATGATTATATGACTTCCTTCTGCAGATAAGTGTCACATGTCACATGCTTCTATCTGGATAATATTAAAAACGCGGTGGTTGTTGACCGAAATTGATTCCCGGTTTGATATGATCTGATCCGGTTTAATCCTTCCTATCTTATCTTCGTATTCACCACAAATACTCATCTCTCCCACTCGACGCAAGTCTGTTGTCTCTGTCTCTCTCTAATGGCGACTCTTCCCCTTCCTCAAACTTCCATAATCTCTCTCCCTAAACCTTATCTCTCCAATTCCTTCTCATTCCCGCTCCGGAACTTGACACTCTCAACGAACCGCCGGAATTTTCTTCCCCGCGGGATTGTTACTCGTTCGTATAAAGTGGTGGTGGAGCACGACGGGAAGATGACGGAATTGGAAGTAGAACCTGACGAGACGATTCTAACGAAAGCACTTGAATCGGGACTTGACGTGCCTTACGACTGCAATCTCGGCGTTTGTATGACTTGTCCGGCGAAACTCGTATCCGGAACGGTGGATCAGAGCGACGGGATGCTAAGCGAAGACGTCGTGGAGCGTGGCTACGCGCTCCTGTGCGCGTCGTATCCAACTTCTGATTGTCACATTAAGATGATCCCTGAGGAAGAGCTCTTGTCTCTCCAGCTCGCCACTGCCAACGACTGATGATGAAATTAGCTTAAAGAACGTCGTTTTTAGTGTAATACGGTGTCGTTTTGTATGGAATCTTGCTTTCAGAGTTGATGTTACTTGAATGAAATCTTGATTTTCAAGCTGGAAATGAATTTAGAACGATTTAAAATGAATCTAAGTTCGTACTGAAATATTAAGGAACTACAGAGAAATGAGGAAAGAGCAGAGATATGTATAAATTAATAAACACACAAGAAGGTAACGACTGCTAATTTAGAGCCAAAGAGAGTGAGAGTGTTAGTTGCAAATTTGAAGAGAGTGAGAGTGAGAGTGAGAGGGAGAGAGAGATATTACAACAAAAAAAACGACGTGGAGAAAAAACGTAGACACAAGAGACACCAGAGATCAGTGGTTGGTACTTGGTTACTTACCATCTTCATGTTTTTCTTTGTCACTGTCTTGTCTAATCACTTAATCAGTAGTAAGCATGCTGAATATGGTGTTGGTGTTGGTGGTGTGGGTGAGGATGGTAAACCGGAGGAGCCACCGGACTGCAGTAGCCACCATAAGGAACCGAATAACTAACCGGAGAAGCTTGGTACGTCCCATGAACCGCCTCGGGTGAGTATTGGTACGGTGGACTCCTGTTGCTGTAGATGGAAGGTGGGGGTGTGTTGTATGCCGGTACACCGTACTGAGGAGAATGGCTCGGTGATCTGATGAATGTAGGTGGTGGCGGTGGGAAGGAGGAGACGTACGCGTTTGTGATACGCCCTGCTTTGGCTGGTGGCATTGGACCGTTGTAGCTTGCTCGGGTTCTCTTGTTGGCCGGAACCGCTACTGGTTTCCTCTTCTCCGTCTTCGTCTTCTCTAGCAGCTGATCCAACCGTTTCTTGAGATTCTCCGGCGGGAATTGTTCCTCGAGTTTGTATTCTTCTATGCACTTTAACACTGCTCTTAACGCTGACTGCTCCTTCCGCGCCACAAGATGCTATGAAAAATACAAACAAAGTGTTAGAAAGTTTACACATTTAACCATAAAAGAGTGCTAAGAGAGCGCGTATAGAGCAATTACCGCAGCTCGTCCGGGATTGTTGGGGTCCTCTGTGATTAAAGATGTTGCTTTCTTTGCATCCCTAAGATAAGCTTTGAGCAGAGGAACAGGAGGGAACTTGTGTACAAGACCCACTTCGAACGTGAAATGAACAGCATCAAGCTGTTGTCCTCTGATGATTAACTCCTCAATCATCTCTGTATAACAGCATAAATCAACTCAAAACCATCACTCTCCATTCTCAGATAATACTCACAAGCTCACATTTAAAGAAAGAGCTAAGACAACAACATTTCAGGTAACAAAATCAAAGTTAAGGTAAGGTCACATGAAAACATATATTCACATGGACTAGTACTAAGCTACTGCATCCAAAGCTAAGAAAATTAAAAAATAAGAGAGTTTGTTTACCAGGCATTTGGTCACCCAAACCAACTGAAACAGCAAGCTTTGGCATCTGTTTACGCCAAGCGGATCCAACCACAAGCTTCCTATACAGAGCAAGATCTTCCTTTTTCACAATTCCAAAAGTCACAAGATGCTGAAGAAACGTATGAACATCAGGTGTCTTCACGTTCTCTATCCCTCCTCTCTCCTCCAAGCTCGCCTTCCACGTCTCAGCGATCTCTTTAGCCTTCTCCCTGACGCTAGGTGTTAAAAGCATCCGAGATTTCCCAATCACTGGATCGACAATTACTGGTATCAAGCTCTCAAGAATCACCACGCAAGCCCACCCGAAATCGTTGGTTGCTTTCTCTCCGGCGCCTTCAACGCCTCTTTTGTCCACCGGAAAAACCTCAGACACGGCTTCGAGTACTAATTTCGGCGGATCCACGCAATCCACTAGCGCCACCGGAATCTTTGACCGGAGATTCTCCAGTTGCTTCTTCCGCGCGATCACAAATCCCCAGAATCCTCTTGCGTCCATCTTCAGGCAGAGCGATTTCAGTGCAGAGAGAAGCCCGTCGCCGTCGTCGACCTCACCGTCGTCGTCGTCGGCGTTTGAGCCGATGTCTCTAGCTTTCTCGAGCGATTCCAGAGCGGCTCGAGCTCGCTCATCGGCTTTCGCCGCCGCGATCTCGACGCTGTGGTCTATAGAGACCTCACGATGCTTGAGTAGCTCGATCGATGTCTGCGTCTGATGGTCTAGGGTTTCGATCATCTGTTTCAGAGCCTCCGATTTCTTCATCAGGCTCTGCTCCATCGAAGTGAAATGCTCCGAGAGCTCCTTCCACAGAAGATTGCAGCTCGTCATCAGTGACGTCTGCCTCTGAAACTCATCGAAACTCGGCTGAGGAAACTCAATCAACTCGCCCGGATCGGGGGAAGATCCCATCGCCGGTTAATCGGACGGTGAAGAACTCAGAATCGGTTCGATTTTGCACAGCGAGAAATGAAGCTCAAAGAAGGTAACAAAGTGATTGGACAAATTTTTGGAGGGGAAAACCTAAAAATGGCAAAAGTGTAAGGAAGGAGAATGATGACGTGGATATGACAGAAATAGACACGTGTTATGTTGTCTGAACGATGGCGCGATAATGACAACCATCCAGAGTGCGCACTTTAAATGACGGCAGCAGCCACCACCCTCCCAGCCTCCCTCATTGGTTGTTGCTAATGTGAACGGAGAAAGCGTAGGATAAGAGGTTTGTGTGTTGTTTGGTATTGGTGGTAAACCGAAATTCGTATCGGTTAATGAAACCAAAAGGAAAAAGCGAGAGAAAGAAGTGGGCCAGGCCTCATAATGTTAATATGGGCAAGCCCATTTAAGCAGTGCCCATTCAGGCCGAACCCATTTAAGCAATACCCGTTTAAGCCCATTAAACTTTAAACCCATTTAGGCCCATTACTTTTTAAGCCTGCCGGCCCTAAGTCCGTCCACTGAAGCCCGTGTAATTTTTTGAATAACAAATTTACATTTTTTTTTTTGCTGTGTTTACCCTTTATTGCATTAAAGAAACCCATAAAATCAAAAACAAAAACAGAGTATAAAATCTTAAAGAAAGGTCTGATTTATAAAAGAAATGAATCTGATTTCAGCAAGACTACATGAAAAGAAAAAGGATTGAGTGAGTAGAAGAAGAAGAAGCACTCACGACTTCACGAGAACCATCCGATTCCACAATGGGAGCAAGGAATTGATTCTTCACATGGAACCATCTTTACTTTCTCTATATCTGCTTCACATGTTACAAAAAGGGATTGATTCTTCTCAGTACTTAACAGTAAGATTACAATTAACAATCAGTGAAGACTATATAATACTTAAAACAAGTTCTTTTAACTTATACGGTCTTTGAACATTAAGAAATGAAACACAGAAAAAAAAGAAGTAGAGAAGAATGATTATCTCATGGTCTAGGTCCTCTAGGATTTTCTGAAGTTGACACTTCTGTTCTCGAGCTAGTGGCCTCATTGTCATCTTCTATGATTTCTTCATAGTCTTCATAGCCTCTTAGCCAATTTCTTGTGCACAGTAATGCTTGGACATTCTTTGGTAGTAAACGATTTCTATAAGGCGTCAAAATCCGTGCTCCTATGCTAAAAGCAGACTCTGATGCAACAGTAGTAATAGGAATTGTTAAGAGATCCCGTGCCATTTCAGTTAAACAACCAAGCCGATGTTGGTTCTCTTTCCAGTAGCCCAGAATATCCAAATCTGGAAAAGCACTCCTCGCTAGCCTCGGCTCATCCAAGTAGATATCTAAATGCGTTTTTGTGTTGCCCACACCAAAGTCAAGGCTTCTTTCTAATTCAAAGAGATCATGTAATGAACAATCATGAATATCATCAGTTACATGAAGCAAAGTCTTAAGAATAAAGCAAAGTCTGTTCTGTAACACTAACACACTAGTTATTATGAATATCATGAATACGGAAGCATCAATATCATCAATAAACCCTACACAATATCATTCCCTGCAATCAAGCAAACTCACAAGTGCATACTAAAAATCATTTCCAGGACTACAAATCAGGTGCATATTGAAATCAGGTTCACAAGTGAAGAAGAGAATTTTACTTACATCATCAAAGTCATGTTCAAGTGGAGACTCAGTGACAATGTCATGTGGAGTTGGTGTAGCTGAAACACCACAAGAACTTGCACGATTCCTAGTCTGATAATCTTTGTAGAGCATCTTCAAATTTTCCTTGAGTTCATCAATTTTTAACCAAGAAGTAGTAGGATCTGCAGCTTCATAAGCTTTTTCAATCATTTCCACTTTCAGCCTAGGATCAAGAACAGCTCCCATAGCCAAAATGACACTATAATCCTCCCAATATTTATTGAACTTTCCTTGCATTCTTCCAACCATTTCTCTTATTGCAGCATCATCATCATCAGCATATTTCTGCAGCAGCATCTCAATTCTCCATACTTGCGTGAAATAGACATTTGATGTAGGGTATTTCGAACCTGACATGTAGGTAGTAATAACACTGAAAGGTTTTAACAGCTTGGAGATTTTATCCCCACGATCCCACTCAGCTTGTGAAGGGAGTGTCTTGTAGTGAGGGTCAAAAAGTCTCCATGCTCTCAAATGCTTTCCTATACCTCAAAGCTCTCACAAGCATATCGTATGTGGAATTCCATCTGGTCTTTATATCAAGAGACAATCCTGCACCAGGTTTGACCTTTTCTCTCTCTGCACAAGCTGAAAAAGCGTTTCTTCTTTGTGGAGATGCCTTAACATATCTAACACTCTCCCTAATGTCATTTAACAAATCATTTGCTAACAACAAGCCTTCTTTCACTATCAAATTCAAGATATGTGCACAACATCTCACATGAAAGAACTTACCATCACATACCAAACCACTTCCACCAATCATCTGAAGCTGTCCATTTAGGTTTCTTTGCATACTATCATTGTTCGAAGCATTATCCAAGGTAATGGAGAAAACCTTTTTCTCCAAGCCCCAATCTGTCAAACACTCAAGAACCACACGAGCAAGCTCTTCACCAGTATGTGCACAATTCATGTCCAAGAAAGCTAATATCCTACTGTGCAGTATCCAGCTAGCATCAATGAAGGAGGCTGTTAAGCAGATATATCCTGTCATTGTGGCACGAGATACCCACAAATCAGAAGTAAAGCAGACCCGACCATGATGATTAGCAAAAACCTCTTTTAGCTTCTCCTTTTCTACCAGATATCTCTTATAGACATCAGATGCAGCAGTCTGTCGAGAAATAGGTTTACAATCTGGATTAAGATACAAGTTTCTTGCTCTGACCTTTTCATACTCTACATATCGAAATGGCAGATCGTGATAGATAATGATCTCGCTAGTCATCTCTCGGTCAATCTTGTGATCATATGGAGGCCTATCTGTCTTCTTGGGAGCTTTTGGACACTTAGCCAAATGGCGAAGCAAATGATTTGTTCCATGTGTCTTGGTACCTATAACTAGTCTTGCCTGACAGTATATACACTCTCCCCTTTCCTTGCCATCACTACCAACTCCTACAGGAACAAAGCCTTCCCAAGCAGCAGAAGTTAAACGCCTCTTTCGTCGATGAGCTGGAACTGGAGCTGCTTGAGTCTCACTTTGAGCTGGAGTTGGATCTGTTTCTTGCACTTTTGTTTCTCCCTCGTTCATATCATCTCCCAAGTTTACAGCATCTTCATCATTCATATCCATGTACTCATCAAAATCCATTCTGCAAAAACTGAAGATGTTGGGAGAGCAAACAAAGTCAGTATGTTTATTAAACTCATGAAGTTAACTGAAAAAGTTATGATCCTGTAAAACAAAGATTAGCTACGGTTCTTTAGCAGTGGAAAAGTTCTTAAACAAGAGGAAAAAGCTATTGGGAATGTGATCATTAAGATAAAAAGATCAGAAGCTTTTCACTACGTGCTATCATATCACTAGATCAGAGATCCTGACTTATTTCATCAAAGCTAGAAAAAAATAACAGAGAATGATTTAACATTGGTTACAGAGAAATAGTAATAGTCGTAAAGGGCTTTGAAGCATGACAAAAGGATCAAACCCAGATTATCAATCAAACATGCAACATAAAACGTGATAAAAGGAGCATCAAAGCTATTAGAGACCCACGAACTACAAGTATCAATTTCGCAAACCCAGGTCAATTTAAATGATATGAAACAAAAACAAACCAACATCTTAGCTCATTTAAGCTACTAGAAAGTAGAAACCCACAAAAACAACCAGCTCAAAGAATTTTAAAAACCCAGATTGATCAATCTCAAAACCAACATCTTGAAGGCACTAATCCCCAAATTCAATTAAACCCAATTCAACAAAACTACAAAGTATTAAATCACTTGAAAACCCAGTTGAAAAAACTCACTTGAATGATTGCCGAGCTTGGCCGAGATATATCGACGGAGTAAAGAGAGACGATCTTAGTTAGAGACTTCGAGAAGAGCTTCAAACGGATTCACCGTGTTATATAGAGAAACGATCTCGATTCTCGTCGGATTCCTGAATCGTCAAGTGATTACAGTGGTCAATCTCGTCGAATCGTCATTTTGCTCGAAGTTGAGATTTGAGAACTCAAAGCGGTGGAAATGGGAAGAAACAGCGTAACGTCGTCGTTTGGCGGAGAAAATTCAAGGATCGTAATAAATGGGCTACCCGATTCTAAACTTACAAGCCCTTTAGTAATTGGGCTTAAACGGGTACACCCATTTAATATTTGCTGTCTTTTAAACAGGTTCGGGTATAAAATGGTTATACAGAACCCGTTTAGACCCGCGGGCTTAAGGCCCATATTAACATCACTAGGCCAGGCCCACTGACCACCACATGCGTTGAGTCAGAAGACAGTGAAGCATTGCCGGCTAAAATCTATGCAAAGAGTACTTATACTCAATTTTAATTTGTAGAAACGGTATATTTTAAAAGATGTAAAAGAAAAGAAATTGTTAGTGTATGTATTTTGATTTTCTAACAAAAAAAAACAGTGAAAGCACGTACAAAGAGAGGAACCTTGTAAATGGTGTAATGAAATAGGCACGCGTAGGACATTGACCGAATATAATTTTTTTTTTGTTAAAAGGATTTTCAAAATAACAAAATCAATTGACAGCTGTGGGATTTGAACCCACGCCCTTTCGGACCAGAGCCTGATTCTGCCGCCTTAGACCACTCGGCCAAACTGTCACGTTTGGACCGAATATATTTGAGTTTCTAGACGTCATGTTTAAGCAGACGTCATGTTTAAGCAACCACAAAACCTTTCTAAACTAATAATACTTTTGCATATAACTTAATTTGTTTCTGCGTATAACCGGATATTTCAAAAATGTGGAAGAACCATATATTTTTGTCATTTAATATACAGTAGTTAATCTATTATGAGAAAATATATGTACCTTTTTAGACGGATGAGCTAATTGAAATGTCACTTTACTTGCACAAAAATTGGAACAAGAGAAAATAAAGCAAATGAGACGAAATATATAACTTTTTAGTAAAGGAGTTGACATCAATAATAAATTAATAAGTGACTGTGTTGGAGATATGCAATGGACCAGTATAAGTCTATAACTACCGTGGTTAGGTTTCTT